GGTGGGGAATTTAGTTATACACCATTGCTTCATCTGTACTCCTCTCTTGGCATTCTTACCCATAAATCGTGTCCAGGTGTCTCCCAGCAGAATGGTTTAGTCGAGCGTAAAAACCGTCATGTCGTAGAAATTACTCGTGCTCTCCTCCTCTCATCTCATATCCCATCTTTTTTTTTTGGCCTGAGACAGTTTCCACTGCTGTTCGGTTGATTAATTACCAGATCACTCCCATTCTTGGTCAATCGAGTCCTTATTTTAAACTGTTTGGCAAACATCCTCCTTATTCGAGTCTCCGTGTTTTTGGCTGTCTTTGCTTTGTTTTACTTCCTCGATCCGAGCGTACAAAATTGTCTTCCAAAACTGCTCGCTGTGTCTTCCTTGGTTATAGTGATGTTTCTAAGGGTTATCTCTGCTATGATCCAGAACTTCGTCGCATTCGTACAGCCTGTAATGTTGTGTTTATGGAAAATCTCATGTTCTACTCCTCTTCGTCCACTACCACCCCTCTTTTTGACACCTCTTTGGGTCCTCCGTCCTTCTCTGACACCGACGATGATATGGATGATGCTCTCCTTCACTTCGACCAGCCCCCTGATGACACCCCGCCTCCCTCCCCACCACCGCCGCCTCCGCCATCGCCGCCGCCGCCAGTTCGTCGCTCTATGCGCTCTACTCAGGGTGTTCCTCCATCGCGGCTCCGTGACTATGTTACTTATGGGGTGGATTCGTACTTCATTCCCACTCGGTATTCCCAGGCGAAGGGTGATCCGAATTGGGATCGCGCGATGACGGAGGAGGTTACTGCTCTGCGGGCTAATGAGACCTGGGTTATAGTTCCTCGCCCTATTGATAGGCCATTCGTGGGTTCTCGTTGGGTTTATGCGCTCAAATTTCTTCCTGATGGCACCTTGGAGCGTCATAAAGCGCGGGTTGTTGCACAGGGTTCCAGTCAAGAGTTTGGGGTGGGTTTCGAGGAGACCTTCGCTCCTGTCACGAAGATGGTCTCTGTTCGTACTCTTCTTGTTGTGGCCTCTCATCGTGGATGGCCTCTCTTCCAGTTGGACGTCAAGAATGCATTCTTGCATGGCGATCTTAAGGAGACAGTTTATATGGAGCTTCCTCCTGGCTACACCCCCGATACTGATATTCCGGATCCGGTTTGTCTCCTTCAGCGCTCTCTCTATGGTCTCAAGCAGGCTCCGCGTGCATGGTTTGATAAATTCCAGTCCACTGTTCTCGGTTTGGGGTTCACGCAGAGTCAGAGTGATCACTCTCTTTTTACTCGCCAGTCTGCTCGTGATATTGTGATTCTGCTTTTATATGTTGATGACATGATTGTTAGTGGCGATGATGCAGCTGGTATTGAGGAGCTTACACAGGGGTTACATGCCTCCTTCACCCTGAAGGAGCTTGGTTCTCTTTCTTATTTTCTGAGCTTAGAAGTTACTCGTTCGCAGGCTGGTATTCTTCTCAGTCAGAAGAAATATATTGATGATCTTCTTGACTCGGCTCGTTTTGGTGATTGCATACCTATTTCTACTCCGATGGAACTTCATGTTAAGCTGGGGAAGGAGTCGGGTGACTTACTGCCGGATGGTGGTAAGCAGTATCGCAGCATTGTTGGTAGTCTTATCTATCTTACTTCGACCCGTCCTGATATTGCTTATGCGGTCCAGATAGTTAGTCAGTTCATGTCCGCTCCTCGCACTGCTCATCTAGCTGTTGTTCATCGCTTACTTCGGTATCTTCAGGGTACTCGAGGTGTTGGTTTATTTCTCCCTGCCACTGGTTCTTGTGTTCTCCAGGCATTTTCGGATTCGGACTATGCAGGTTGTATTGACACTCGTCGTTCCACGACGGGGTGGTGTATTCGTCTCGGTGGATCCTTCATTTCGTGGCGGTGCAAGAAGCAGGATAGGGTTTCCAAGTCATCCACTGAGGCTGAGTATCGTGCGATGTCTGATGTGGTTTCTGAGTTAGAGTGGCTTCGGCGATTACTAGCTGATTTTGATGTTAAGTGCGAGATTCCTATGGAGCTTCATCTTGATAACACTAGCGCTATTCGGATAGCGACTAATCCGGTCCTTCATGATCGTACGAAACACATTGAGGTTCATCTCCACTACATTCGTGACCTAGTGAGGGATGGAGTTATTCATCTCTTCTATGTCAAGTCCGAAGACCAGATTGCTGATCTCTTGACTAAGGCCTTCACCGCTAGTCGTCATTCTTATCTTGCTAGCAAATTGATGATGCGAGACCCTCATCAATTTGGGGGAGGATGTTGAGTTATGTAACTGGGCTTAAGCCCATACGATTAATGTACATAGTGTAGGCCTATAGTCAAGCCCTAGGCCGATCCCATCATCTCTCAGCTAGGGTTAGAGAACTCTATTTATTGTAACTTGTAACCTGAACATGAGGCTAGTGAATACGTTGACAGCTTCGACCGTGGACTAGTCTTGATCACACTGATCAAGGAAACCACGTAAATCTCCGTCTCAGTTTCGTTTCTGTTCCTAGAACTATCTGCTCCGATCATAGCTTTTAACAGTTACAACTCAATTTCAAGTATGGAATTTTGATTCAGTAGAAACTCTTAATCTAAAATTTATCGTACTAGACTATAGTAGGGCTGGGAAAATAGACCAGACCGTTAGAAAAACCGTGGTCCAAACCGTACCGCACAGTTTGGTCTAGACCGTAGACCGTGAAGTATGGTCTGGTCTGGTCCATGGTCTGTATTATTTTATGATTTGATCTCTTGGTCTGGTCTGGTCTAGACCGCGGTTTACCGGACCAAACCGTGGACCCAACTGACTTGTCAATACTTGTTAACAGCCCATTCGACCACTCTCCAAACTCCCACAACGACACCCAAGTCTCAACCTTAATTTTGTGAATCTCTTCCCTCCTTCATTCACAACCACATTTAACCAGAGAGTAGAGATAATAGTGTCTCCATATGACATTATGTTAATGTTTATGACGTTATGGTGCAAGCTGGGATGTTTTTACTTTGTATTTTTGTTATGTACTAAGATTTAGAGTATCAAAATTATTCATGCATGTTAGGATTAATGTTTTAAGGCAAATAACAATTATTTTTCTTGGTTATTGGTTCAATTTTTTGTGTGATTGACTAAACAAATTATTCATTTTTCGTTGAGTGTGGTCTATCTGGACCAGACCAGACCGAACCAGACCGCACAGGCGTGGTCTGGACCGGACCGTATAGTCTGTGGTTTGGTCTGTGGTCTATACTTTAGCCTCTCGGTCTGGACCATAGACCGTATATATGGTCTGGTCTGGACCAGACCGCACCGTTTCCCAGCCCTAGACTATAGATGTCGAGTGGATTTTTTTTATAATACAACCACAGTATAGGCAAAGGTTGAGTCTCAAATGAAATGTCTAATATATAGGATCAACTATTAATCAAGAACTTCTCATCGACAACAAATTAATGATTCCATGGATTTTCCTCATGATAAAACTAAATTTTATTTCTTCATATCTTAATATATGTCACCTATTAAAGTTTGTAATGTTATCAACCTAGGTTTGAAATGAAGGTTTATAAATTTACACACTTAACTTTTTATGTAAGCCGTTTTCTTTGGTTTTAGCATTTAGCCTATGTCACACGGTGAAATAAGTCCCCTTATGGCGTAAACACATGTTTATTTCTCATACAAAAAAGTTCAATATTGAAGTTAAGATTGTTTATATATGTCCAAGATACACCAAGAACAACACACTGTGATGACCAACATTTGGTGATTAGAATATGGTATAAATAGATGAGTGTTAGTGTTTGTTGCTCATTAGGAATTTGAGACAAATTTCGAAGACAAAATTTTTATAAGTGGGGAAGAATGTATTGACTGGCACTTTTAGAAGAGTATTGGTTTATGTTGGGCTTTAAAGTGAAGCAAATTTCTAATAAAGAGGGTTTGGGCTTCAAATGAGGTAAATTCATAACTAACAAGATTGGGCATCAATATTTTTTTGATTTAGAAAAGGCTCAATTTTAATTTGACCTCAAGTGGACTACTCTTCTAAGAGTGTCGGTCATTACACACCCCTAATTGAAATTGATAATTATATGCGATATGTGGGCTTTGGATTTAGGTTTGTTTTTTATAGAAATTATCTCAATTTATTGTTTGAGATTCTCAATTGAAATTTATTATTTAACGCATTTATTAATATTTATTTATTGTAATAAATAATGACTACCCTATAATACATTATCGTTTCTTGTAAACCTGGCCCTATTCACTTTTATTTTCGTTTTCTGTTTTCTGTTTTCATGTCATAAATTTGGCAACCGAAACGAGAAAACTTGTTTGCTTTTCATTCTCTTTTCTATTTGTTTCCAACTATGAAAACAGAAAGTGACAACTTCCTGGTGTTTTCGGAAACGACATAATGTTGTTTTCACCTGTTTTCTCAAAAACAGAAAACAGAAATGAAAGTAATAGGTAAATTTTACACCATGAATTTGTGATATACACCTTGAATTTGTACTACATATTGTACACAAGACCGCTTGAACACTAAACTGGGAATTGTTGTTCATATCTTTTATAAATTAAACTAATACAATCTTATAAACATATGTATATTTTATATACACTCAAAACTTAGGATATACCGAATGTAAGCTTTTATTAATATATTCATACATCACAAGAGAACTCGTTAAAAAATCTAAAAAATGGTATAATCAAGGACCAGTGGAGGACCCAAGCATCCCAGATAGAAGAATAAATGTAAAAAATGGTAAAAGAAACCTTAAGCCAGTTTTAAGTGAAATTGAAAAAGAAAAAAGACAACTAAAAAATTTCAAAGATGCAAAGAAGCATTCATCGAGAAAGCCCTTAACTTTATTTAGATATTAATTGAGCATACAAGGACAACGAACACCAAAAAAAGTACATAATGGAAAAACACTTGTAGGGGGAAAAATGCAAGGGCACGTACATCATTCACGTCTAAATCATCACAAGGTTTTGAAAGGTCTTCATAGCCAATTCAGGTAAAGTCACATAAACAGCCATATCTCCATAATGCTCTTTCCCATGATTCGGAAAAAATATCAGCATCTCATCAACGGGCAATGCTACGGGCGCCATAAAAATAGCGTCTCCCCACCCAAAATCAGTGGTGCAAAAGGGAATCCGTGACCAGGTTGTCGCAAGCATAGTATGTGCAAAAGAATGCACATTTCCATGCAGCTCATGACAATCAATCGAAGATCTAACACTAGCATTTGTAATCATCTTGATTGCATCTTGAACCAACCCCACTGTTGTTGAAAAGGGCTCGTTGTTCAAGTCCCTAGCTTTGCTGATGGTGCAAGCCACTGCAATTCCATTCCCCAAGTACCCTTTAGGCAATGGTGGATCCATTTTCTCCCTTACATTCACCGGTACCATGAGTTTGCTTTCCTGGTCGCCAACCATGTTCAACGCCTTGCTTCGAGCTATCCAGATGAAAGTTGTAAGGCATTCGAAAGTGGAGCACTTGGAGAGAACTCCATCTTCCATAGCCTTCGATTTTAGTTCCTTTATGAATTCACGGTTAAAATGAAAAACCCTATGCACCATGTTCTCTTTGGAAAAGTCATTGAAGGCAGATGATGACGACTTGTTCTCTATTTTCGTAAATTCCGGATGAATGAACTCAACCTTTGGTGGACTACGTGGTAGTAGAGAGCTTTTGTCCAAACTAGGAAGCACTGAAATCGACATTCCTCTTGCGATCTCCGCCCATGAGTTCACCACCTCCGTCGCTGTAAAACCATCGGTCAGGCAGTGAGAGATACACATCCCGAAAATGAATCCTCCACATTTGAGCTTTGTCACCTGAAACCAACTTTGATTCGTCATTGGATGCGCGATTGAGATCGCATAAATATCGATATATGAATATACCGTCATATTGTTATTACATCCTAGGGTTAGATTACCTGGGCAACCAAAAGGGCGCATTCTGGTAAAGGCTTGGCATTGCCATGAATGCCATCATCGTAAACCAAGTCGACGAGCTTACTCGGGTCACTCCTCACCATCTCTTCAACATCTTGCATGGCAAGGTCAGCCTCAGCCTCCACGAAAACAGCACCTTTCTCGTAGCAACTCACCGCCAACTTTTCTCGTGAGACGACTGTCAGTCGACCCGCCAAAGGATAGTAATGAACGAGGAGCTTTCGCAAGGCTGCTTTGAACACTTGGCCGGCCATTTCGTTCCCTTTCTTGTTCGACTTGAACCCATAAATGGAACGTACCCAACATACAATGTGGTCGAGGAACGAGAGGGAGAAGACACCTTTCTCCTTGATTTCCTCTTGAGGTGGTGAAACCATGACCGGCTGCCCACGCTTCACAATTATGTTATTGCAAAATGGTCTACACATGGTGGACTTTCCAGCAAAATACTACAATAATCTGTGTTTGTTATATGGAAGGAGTTTGGACGTTATAGTACAGTTATTTTCTTCTACTTTGAAGTCTGCTTATGATGTTAGTGAAGCCAGGTATATATACTGAGAAGCTGATAAATGTATGGATATGCACGGACAATAAAATAAACATAGTATGGATTATGGAATGTCGATTCAATCTTTAACGTCAAGTGCCATGTTTGTTTATGGAATAGATAAAAATCGTTACGTTTGCGGACTTGGTCCGGAGGAGTACTTCACCTTTGCTATGGATTTATCTTTTTGGACGAGCAGAAAGAGTTATGAATTATGTCGTAACATGGGAAAGAGAGAAGGAAAAGGGTGGCAACGTAAAGACACGAGCATGGGGAAGAAGGAATCCGTCAATGGAGACGCGCCATTTGTTATTGGTGCATACGCCCTCCTAGGACATCTCGAACTCGGTCTCAAGTGAGCTATGAAATTAAAATGCAGTTTTGCCATAATCCAAATTGGACTATAGCTAGCTAGCTAGAGATGCCAAAGCTACTAAGTTACATCGGGGCGCAAGTCTAGCTATTAATATTAATTCATATATATTAATTAATATATTAATATCAATGTTGTCCGGACACGGTGGAGCTAGTGGTTTATGAGTTAATTGGTCACCCATTTTACCCCGGAAATATAGAAAGAGTTATTATATTGTACTTATCCTGATAAATTATATAAAATCTCATCTAACATGAGTTATAACATATAATATTCCATCAAAATAACATGTCGTACTTAGATCCAACATATAGTGAAAATTCACACACACTTATATAACATACGGTGCCTTCTACGGTATCATGTCCGAAACATCAGTCAATTCAAGTTCTGGATAGCGTTTTCTTACTTAAGGTATGCGATACCCCGAATTTCACCCGGGGTACCGTAGAACTCCCCATAACATATATATATGTTCAAATGTTCAACTTAAGATTCCAAAGATGGAGTTAGGCGAAAAGAAAAATTGGAAAATAGGCGCATTTTGCAAACCAAAGAAAAAATGACACAATTTGACCTCCAACCCGGTACCTTATAGCGGTCGACCCGGCGGGTGCGTGCGGCCCGTTTTTCTCACCCGGCTAGGATCCAAGTGGGTCGACCTGAGGTTCGACCCGTGGGTTGACAACCTTAATAATAATATATAAAAGCCTAGATTTGAGTTACTGTTCATTAGTGGCTCTCACACTACTCCAAGTGCAAGTGGGTAAGTTCCAAGCCCCTCTTTTACCTCACTTTCCATTTTACAACCTTTGTATTTAGTTATTGTTCGCAAGGTTTTCGTCAATGGTTTTCTGCATAAATCATATTCTTTGTGTTTTATTATTGTTCGCTAGGTTTTCGTTTATGACTTTTTGCACAAATCATCACACTTGTGTTTAGTTATTAATATATTAATTAATTAATATATAAAAGACTAGGTTTGAGTTACTATTCATTTGTGGCTCTCACACTCCTCCAAGTGCAAGTGGGGAAGTTCCAAACCCTCTTTTACCTCACTCTCCATTTTACAACCTTTGTATTTAGTTATTGTTCGCTAGGTTTTCGTCTATGACTTTTTGCACATTAATTAATATATAAAAACCTAGGTTTGAGTTACTGTTCATTATTGGCTCTCACACTCCTCCAAGTGCAAGTGGGGAAGTTCCAAACCCCTCTTTGACCTCACTCTCCATTTTACAACCTTTGTATTTAGTTATTGTTCGCTAGGTTTTTGTCTATAGCTTTTTGCACAAATCATCGTCTTTGTGTTTTGTTATTGTTCGCTAGGTTTTTGTCTATGACTTTTTGCACAAATCATCACATTTGTGTTCAGTTATTAATATATAAAAGCCAATTTTTGAGTTACTATTCATTAGTGGCTCTCACACTTCTCCAAGTGCAAGTGGGGAAGTTCCAAGCCCCTCTTTTACCTCACTCTCCATTTTACAACCTTTGTGTTTAGTTATTGTTCGCTAGGTTTTCATCTATGGATTTTTGCACAAATCATCGTCTGTGTGTTTTATTATTGTTCGCTAGGTTTTCGTCTATGACAAATATCATCAATTGTACCACTAAGTGTCTACCACTAGAAACGTACTACCACTAGGTGACTATCACTAGATGACTATGATTAGGTGCCTACTACTAGTAATTTACAACCACTAGCTAGGTGACTACCACTAAGTGACTGCCACTAGCAATGTACTACCACTAGCTAACTTTAACCAGAACTACCAAATTTTCGTCGTCACATTAGTTGTACCACTGAAAAAACACTACCAATTCAACGGAAGTCGTGACGGAACTAGTTAACCCTACCGAGATTGTTGAAGTCGGCGATATTCTCGGTGTCGTCGTCATCAGCATCAACATCATCGCCTGAGTGTGGCGCGAAATGTTCGTTGTTCTCTACATCGTGGACGTTGTCCGTGTTTCTGTACTGTTCTGGATGATCTTCGTTCAACAGCTCCTCCCCGTCGATAACGTTGTCAACATCCACCATGCAAACATCATTGCCATTCTCCATGGGGTCCGTCTGCTGAGCTCCGACCTCATAGGCATCTTCGTCGTTGCTTGTGTATGGGACGTTCAGGTCAAACCCAAATAAACATGTAGGTTCAGCTCCCACCCATTCTCTAGCGTCATTGTTGCTTATGTAGCCGTCCATTGTATGGCGGCTACGTGGATTGTATTGTCGGAGATCTATAGCTAGTGTGGTTTGATTTGATAGGGAAGGATCTAGAAATGAAAGGGAAAGAGTCTCAAACGTATGTTCAGCTCCCACCAATCATCTCCAAATTATTCTCCATGCATTTATGTTTTAGTTCAAAATTTTCCATTTAGCTACTTCCTAAAACGCCCTTTGTGTACTACTGGTCGCAGGATGAAGAAGGGAAATGGACAGCTTTGAAGGGGGAAGCGAAATTGACAACCCCCTTAGGAGTTGTCATGCTATCCAATCGCACCATAATATCTTTGAACAACCAGGAGGGGTTATGGTGATTACTATAAATTAGTAATCACTATGGTTACTAAGGACAAATTGGTTATGAAAAATAATATTTTTTAATTTTATTTTTCAATAAATTATATTTTAGGAAGTTACATAAATATATCAACTACAATTTTCTCTCTCTTTTTCTCTCACTTCCACAATCTTCAGCCAGATCTCTCTTCCTTCCTTTTCTCAATCTTTTCTTGACGAACTAATACCGCTACAACAACAAAATAATAAATCAATACCAATCCATTAAAAACACTACCATTGCACAAAACATCAATATCATTCGAAAAATAAAAACACTACCATTTCACTAAACAACAATACCATTGTAGATTTAATCAATACCAATACATGCAAATCAACATCATTACACGATAATCAATACCAATACAAAAAAAAATACAATAACAATGCGAAAAAACACTACCACTACAAAAAAAAATCACTATAATTTCACAAAAATACGTACCAATCCTTTATCCTCCCTCCTTTGCCTATTTCTGGCCACCACACCGACCACAATCCAACGTTCTTGGAGAGATAGAGAGAGGATTTATGGTGGGCGGCTATCACCAGTGAGAGGGTGGGTGGTGGTTTTGGGCAGGGGGAGGAGGGAGGGAGGCGAGTTGGGAGGCGGTGAATGGTGATAGGGGAGGGGAGGGGAGGGAGGAGGGGAGGCGGCTGGCTGGTTGGAGCAGCGTGGGAGGATAAAGAGAGAGTGGAGGTAGGATCAGGGTAGGTAAGTTATAAATATAAGTAATAATCTGGTGTAATAATATTTTGATATCCAAACTACCCTTAATCTAATATTGACCGTCATTTAAAAAAACAGAGAGAAAAATAGAACTAATGAAGGGTTTAGATGTAGGTTGCCACCCACTAGTGATGGCAATTTGAACCCGTCCCGCGGGTATTACCCGACCTGACCCACAATAGGTCATGTATTACCCGCTCGCAGTAGCGTGGAGCAGGCATGGGTAACTACTTCCGACCCCCCCCCCCCCTCCCCCGCGTTCTTAACCCATTTTATCTCAATTTCTTACATTATCTATACATATATCTCTTATTTTGACATTTCTTCAACTAGTTAGAGTCCATCTTTCAACTTGTTAGACTCATTTACCTTATCTATTATCACTATTTTTCACTCATCAAGTGTTCTCACATTCATTTTATCATAAAAAAAAAAGTAAACTTTGTGTCCATTTTTTTCCAAATAACATGTAAGAGCAGGTCGACCCGCCCCGCCCCATACCCGCACGGGTTTTTTGTGCCCCGACCCATACCCGTAATAGCGTGGGCAGGGCATGGGAATTGAGGTACCCGCCCACCCCACCCTATTGTCATCACTAGTTGCCACAATGATTACTAAAAAACTAGTAACTGCCCTATCACATTCCTTGAACAACCATAAAAATCGTGAAATCTAATGACTGAAAATATCCACCTTAAATTAAAAAAAAAAATCCGCCTTAAATTTTGGATCTCGCCATCTCTTTTTTTTTTTACGATAATCTGCACTAGGCTTTATTAATCATGGGAAGCCGTTACATTGTCCAGCTCAAGCTGGTCGAGAAGGACCATAGGGGGCCGATCAATCCAAACCTCAGCCTCATCCCATCTCGTTTCCACATGTGCCATAATATGTGCCGTTGCATTTGCATTGCGGTAAACATGCTTAATCTCTCCACCTCCAATCTCCTCAAGCATGCGCTTGATACTCCTGCAGACCACTCCCAGTTCCGTCCAGTCTCGATCGGCATCTCTAATACCGTTTAGCACCGCTTCACAGTCCATTTCCAGATTTGTTCCTTCGAGCTGGTACTGCTGTGCTAGTTGTAGACCAAATTCCACCGTTAAGGCTTCTCCTATCTCTGGGTTTGATTCTCCTTTAATCCTCTTTGCCGCCGCGAAAAGGAAACGTCCCTCCGCATCTCGAGCGACCACCCCTAGACCACTCCCGTCCGCCCAAACTCCAGCATCAGTATTCAACTTCACACGCCCAGCTGTCGGCTTCTTCCAATGGTGAACTTCTTGCCTTAGCTGTGGCGGTTGGAAAAATTCTTGCTGCTGTCGGTATTCCTCGAGCAATGAAGCTGCTCTTGGGACTATTTCCTCCTCTGCCGATTTAACCCCATTAAACATATGCGAATTCCTTTCTTTCCAAAGCATCCACAATAACATACGACATTCTTCAAGCTCTGACTCCTGTGATCTCTCCACCACCTTCGTCACCCACTCCAAACTTAGCGCGTCTCCCCTCATCTCAAAACAATGCGCTACATGCGATTTCCGCCATAACCTGCTTGTCCAAGTACATTCCGCAAAAGCATGCACTTGAGTTTCCTTCATGTTACAAAATGGGCAGGAATCTCCTCGTCGCTGACTGCGAGTACTTACATGATCCCCAGTTGCAAGAGAATCCCGAGCGAATCGCCACATAAAGTGTTTCACCTTTGGCGGCACTTTCATTCCCCATAATTTCCTCCACAGCTTCGTATCCCCTGTCATCGGCACAGCACTCTCCGCTCGAGCTTCAATCAGCCATTTCCTATATCCTTCCCGAGCTGTATACTTCCCATCCTTGCTGCCGGCCCATATCAACTGATCTTTCTCTTGGATTCCTTGCAGTGGTATTCGGGTTATGGCGTTCGCCATCGTTGTAGTAAAACAACTTTCGATAAGACCCCTATCCCACTGCTCAGTTTCCTCGTTGATCAACTCATGAACGGTTGAGTCAACCGGGAGGCCCATCAGAGCAGACTCAATAATGTAGCCCTCCACCGATGGAACCCACCGATCAGATCCTCACCTGTGTACCATTTCCGATCCTCCATCTAAGTCCACTAACCAGGAACTCTTGGGCACTCATTAGACTTCTCCAAACGTAACTTGGCCTATACCCCACCTTAGCGTCCAGAATATCATCTTTCTTATGATACTTCGATTTTAAAATTCTTGCAATCAGGGAATCGGGTCGTAGATGAATACTCCAAAGCTGTCGTGCAAGGAGCGCTTTGCTGAAGCCCCGTAGATCCCGGAACCCAATTCCTCCATCATCCTTTGGTAAGATCAGTTCCTCTCGCGCTATCCATGGGATACGCTTCTCCTCCGCCTTCTGCCCCCACCAAAATCGGGTTATAAGACCATGGATGTCATCGATGATACCATCCCGAACACGAAAAACTGCCATGGTATAAGTGAGTTGAGCCTGCGCCACTGACTTGATGAGGACTTCCCTTGCTGCTACCGACATTACCCTCTCTTTCCAACCCGCCAGCTTTTTCCGGACCCGTTCTTTGAGATAAGAGAACAAAGCTTTCTTCGATCTCCCTACTTCCGTGACCAGTCCTAGGTATTTATTATGTTTCTCCACTCTTCGCATACCCAGGACCGCACTCACTTGTAGCTGTTGATGCGTCTTGACATTTCCACCAAAAGAGACCTCGGATTTTTCCAAGTTGAACAGCTGCCCAGACTCCGCTTCATAATCGCTCAGGCGATCTCGTAGAAGCAAAGAATCCATAAAAAAGGGAAAGACGCTAATTATATAAGTAATTGATATTTGCATAACCACCTCCAGCAACCTCTCGTCCGTTATTCTTTTGTTTTCTTTGTGTGTGGTGTAACTGTGAAATGATTGGAGGAAAAAGCAGCGAAGTTTTGTAAGAAGAACAAAATTATATGTGCATTGTGCTCACTGCTCAGTAATAAGTAATTCAATGAAGGGTGAATTCTAGAGAAGTCGTCATGATAGTGTACCATTTTTTTTGTTTTTACCGATGCTACATTTTATTGATTTTGAAGGGGGAAAAAGAATTGTTTAATTTATATTTGTTGCTGACATGGAAGCATAATAATAATTCAAAGCTGATGTGGCATAGGTAAACTATCAACAACTTCGATCTTCTCAAGTAAATCCTCCATCGCGACATAATAAGTAACATATATAAGCGTGTTCGGTCATCATATCGATATTTAAGTATTAACATGGAAAATGTTAGTAACAAGGTTGGAATGGCAAGGAGAGTACACAAGATGAATGAAGCTACATTACTCTCTGCTTGCTCTTTCTGCATAGGGATAAAAATTGAAAATTACTGCTAAGAATAAAAACCCTTTACAGCATGACGCTTTTCTTTTCTTTTTGGATTTATTGAGTGCTCTCTCTCCCTCTCTGGCTGCCACCATACTTGACAATGTTGTTAACTATACAACCCAGCCCCAAGCCATGAGAGAAGAAACATACATCATGCAGTACAAAGGATTAAAAAGAGGTTAAACAACTCAACTTTTTTTTTTTTACCATCTGGCTCCTAACCGCTAGAAGCCGTACTTATCTGAAGAAAACACTTCGCTTCTTCTTAAATCACGGTTCCACTGGGAATCAAAGCATCCTTGATTACGGTCACAATCCCGCTCTTAATGAAGTAGCCATCAGTTTCCCTTGCTGCTTCTTGTACATTGTCACTATTAAGGATCTGAAAGCAATTGAGAACAATAGAACTTATGTGAGATATATATAATATATGGGAAGAAATCAATACGGTTATTAAGCGAGACAAGTGGGATTATAACCTTGACATTGTCACCAATTCTAGCGTTCTTGTCGATGATTGCTCTCCTGATGTGGGAGTTTTTGCCTATGCCAATAGGAACGCTGCCCTTGGCAGCCAAGAACCTCCTGTCCGCGTCAGTCTACAATAACCAGATTTGAGGACATGATATTAATCAACATGATGAACACTTAGGCCTAGAATTATACAATGGTTAAATGGGGCAAAATGTGATTGATATGAGTGATTATGTTCCGGGGTCATGTGTACCTCATAGTAGTCCGCTCCCATCAGCAATGTATCCTCAATGATTGCACCTTCTGAGATGCAGGATCGGAGCCCAACAACGGAATGATGAATTTTGCAGTTCTGATCATAGATGAGAACAAGTCAACACAAATATCCAGTACAGTAGTAAGACAGGTTTCAGACCACATATTTTACCTTAATGACACATCCTTCCCCAATAACACTGTCTGTGACATCAGCATCGAGCATCTTGGATGGAGGTAAGTACCGAGGTTGTGTATAGATAGGAGAAGACCGATCATAGAAGCTGCAAACAAAATCAAAGTTTTAGAGAACATTTTTTATAAATTTTCTGAAGGGAGCTAGAATCAGGAGTAGTACCTGAAATCTGGAATTGGTTTCTTTGTTATTCCAAGATTCGCATTGTAGAAAGCCTCAATTGTACCAATATCTTCCCAGTATCCATCATAAAGGTAAGCTTGCACCTATTGAGTTTATGGTGAAATCATTAAGATGGTGGCAAAATGTGTAATGTGCAGAGAGCAAAAAACATTGGCAATACTTCTGTCGTATGTAGAAGGTGAAGTATACTCACTCTCATGTCAATGGATGTAGCTCCAGGAATTACTTCACTGCCAAAATCATTGGCACAAGGAAACTTATCCCTGAGTAGCTCTAGCATCACATGTTTGCTGACAACATATATACCCATGCTAGCAATGTAAGGCATTTCTTTTGCTCTTTGATCATCCAGACCCAAGATAGTTGTATCAACCTGGAAAAAAAGAGATATGCCAAGCCATTAGCTCGAATATTAGAAACCATAGATGTTATCAACTCCACATGATAAGAGATACTACCTTCATAGCTTTAAGCTGATCTCCTTTGGGTTTCTCGGCAAACTCTATAATCCGACCTTCTTCATTGATCTTCATCAGACCAAATGCAGTAGCACGCTTCTCATCCATCGGCAATGCAGCAACAGTAATGTCTGCATCAGTTTCCCTATGAGCCTGAATAAATTTCTCATAGTCCATTCGATAAAGATGATCCCCAGCAAGAACCAAATACTCCAGCACATTATGCTCCTCAAACAACCACAAGTACTGCCTTACAGCATCAGCTGTCCCCTGAGTCACACGACAACAACAATCTGAATGACATCAAACCTTCCAACGACAACAACAATACCAGTGCATACAAAGTAACTGCAGATTGTATTGTTTACCTGGAACCAGTTGGGATTCTCTGGGCTCTGCTGAGCTGCGAGAACTTCGACAAACCCTTCATTCTTGTAGCCACCCATGTTGCTCGCATAAGCCCGAGAGAGGTGACGATTCAGGGACGCGGAGTTAAACTGGGTAAGAACATAAATCTTGGAAATGTTGCTGTTCAAGCAATTGCTGACAGGGATATCGATCAGCCTGTAATTAGCTCCTAGAGGGACAGCAGGCTTTGCCCTCTTCTTGGTCAGTGGGTAAAGCCTGGTTCCAGCGCCACCTCCCAAGATAATTCCTAGAACACTCTGTCATTAACACACAATAACATGAAGAAAGATTCAGATCGCAGCCATCCAAAAGGCAATTCCTTCTCAAATGAATTCGACAAGATCAGCCATTCCAATCGAATATCTAATTGCCACAAAGTCGGATCATCTTTTGGCCTGAATCCAATAAGAAATTACAATATAACGGCACACAACCAATTCCAGCTCACAATGCAGGCAAAACATTCACAATTCTATGCTGATGACCCAAAATAGAAACGAAAACCCAGAGGAACCAATCAATCAAACTCACCCTACTGGCATCAGGATCAAGACAGGTCTGAGAGTTCCTGGAATCCGAAACAGCCTTCGGAGAAACGATCAGCGGAGTAGTCCTCGCATTCCGGCCGCTCTTCCCAGACCGTCTAGCGGACAATGCCCTGGAGGAAAACTTCTCCCCGGAGAGTTTCGACGACGAGAACCCCAAGCACCTTGCCTCCGATTTCCGGCCGGCATTGGTGGAGGAGGAAGGAGGAGAAGCTGACGAGGAAGGTGACACTTTGAGAGCTCCCATGGCCGCAGTAGCCATTTTTGTTCTGCTCAGATAATTTAGCGAGGCTCCCACTGAAATGAAGGGAGGAAGAGTGAACTGTGAGCTGTGGAGTGCTTTTTGTGGATCTCTGATATTTGATAGAACGTCGAGGTCCGATTTGCCCATGGCTTTCCAGTGAATTCGCTTCGGTTGACAGCAAAATTTGAGGATATGGTTAGGGGCAATTCGGGGAAAATGAAAAATGTAGTTTAAAATTAAATTAAATATCTTGGAGGAGGAAAACAAAATTGGTGGCTGGTAATTGGTATTGGGTGATAGATCGACGGTAACGTGATTCTCTCTGAATTTTGTGTGGAGAATTTTGGGGATATTTTATTTTAATAATAATAAATCCTGTCCCAAGGATTCGGAACCGCCCATTGCTTTTGGGTTCTAATTTGCCATTATTGTGGGGGAGTTGGTAATGCTTATGAATGTTGTCGTGACAAGATATCATTGGGAATTGATTTTCTTAATTTTTTTCTTTTCAGTAATTATTTTCTTAATTCTTTATATCAACAGCTAATTAGCTTTTTCAATTTTTTTTAGCACGTTCGCAATCCTCTATATTTGGCCCGGCTTGTAGAAGTGTTTTTCGGCTTTAAAAGCTGAAGCAGGGCCAAACACCTCTAAAAGTTCGGTTTTTGAAAAGCCAAAAAACGCTTTGGAGCTTCTACGAAAACCTGTTTTGAAAATACAAGATTATCCTTACCATATTTTAATTTTATTTCAGAAAACATAATTTTCTTTCATTTATATCATTTTAAAAAATAAAATAAATAATAAAAACATATTATTTAATATAAAAGAAGTCTAACAAGATTCATTTTGACTACATTATATTGTTTAGAATTATTATTCATAGTTTATATTATAAGTCCTTTATAGTCATTTTACACAACCTCTCATATTAAAAAGCAGTTTTAAACTTTTAATAGTTTTTCAGCCAAACAGTCAACTGCTTTTTTTGAAAAGTACTTCTCTAAAAGCTCAAGCCAGAAGCTGCTTCTGCAAAAACTACAGCATGGCCAAACTGAGCCCCTAGAGCACTAAAAGCGCTTATGAGGCATCAAGCAGTAATGTTCCTTCAAAAAAAAGTAGTTGAGTGTTTGGCTGAAAAACTATTAGAAGTGATTTTTTAATGTGAGAGGTTGTGTAAAATGACTATAAAGGATTTATAATAAAAATTATGAATAAAAATTCTAAACAATAAAAAGTAGTCAAAATAGATCTTGTTAGATTTATATTATATTAAAAATATGATTTTACAATTTATTTTATTTTAAAATGATATAAATGAAAGAAAATTATATTTTCTAAAATAAAATTAAAATATGGTAAGAATAATCTTGTATTTTCAAACTAGCTTTTCGCAGAAGTTGCAAATCGGAGCTTCTGCTTTTATGCTATACAAAAACATTTTTCGACTTTTCAAAAGTCGAGCTTTTATAGGTGCTTGACCCTGCTTTAACTTTTGAACCGAAACCCCTTAAAATACCACATGAGCTATTGTGAATGGTTGGGCCGCTTTATATAGCTAGGTTCATGCATAGCTGATTGTCTAGGATGGCGTACTTTGGTGGATAGCGGTTGGGTGCGAGATGACCATCGAATATTTTGTCAACATGTGTCCAGTCTCATGTATATCATCCAACACCAAAGTGATGGTACCATCCAACCTCTTAGTGGGTGGTATCATCTCATATCATAGACATCATCCAACTTCTAAGTGGATGGTGATCATCCCATATAATAAAGTATAATTTAACCTCTTCGTGGATGGTATCATCTCATACCATGGATATCATCCAACCTCTTAGTAGATGGTACCATCCTATTCAATGACATCATCCAACTCATTAGTGGATGGTGATCTCTCATATCATGGATGTCATCCAACATCTTATTTCATTGATACCATTCAAAGTACTAACTGGATGGTACCATCCATGTTGAAACATGATGACATGGGGAGGTGTCTAGAGACCTCCTACGATGACAACTGGCTTGCGTAGAGGCTAAGCTGGAGTTACTTTTCAGAGAGAGGCGATATAAAGCAATTGGACAACCTCTACAACAAAGCTTTAAGCAAGCTTCTGGAGGAAGGGAGACAATCACAATCCAACACAAAAGACAACTAGTCTCAATTGTCCCTTTTTTTTCATTTTTCTTTGCAGTATCTTCCATAGTCGTAGTCTTAGTTGTAGTAGTGGAGTTCTCTATAGAAGTAGTGTAATTTAACGTAACCCTATACGTCAAATACTCTCGTTCAAACAGTATTTAAAGAGGTGTGTACCATAGTAGCAAATCAATCAATCCAGTTGTTTCTCCACCGTTAACATTTTCAGCCAGTTTTTTTTTTTTATTAGAATGGATGAATCGTGGATATAACTAGCACACGCCAATCAATTTGGAATTATGAATCCTTTGAACTCAAAGAGTGCCTAAGTTCCTTAAAAGCGATTCCGTTATTTTGGACCTAAAAGTTTCAAATTTTTACCAAGGAGTGTGAGTTTTAGTTTTTACATTTGGTGAGCTGTTTGACTTAACTAGGCCATTCATTATTCAAGAGCAAAGCCGGACATGTATCAAGATGACAAGCAAATAGAGTAGTATTGTTTGGTTACTGACAAGTCTCCATCATGCCTAAATTTTGGTAGGCTGAGTTCCATGTATGCAAACTCAAAAAGGACGAACAAGAGATCATGGTAAGTTGGTAACTAGTAGCTCTTTTCTTCAAAACGGCAAATGCCATTTGGCCATTCGGTTCAATGCATATACCATGAGCGATTCATTTTAGTTTTATAGTTTATACACATTTGCTATTTACGGGATAAATTACATGTGTGGTCCTCAATTTAAAAAAAAAAAATGTCTTTCACCAAAAAAATTATTTTCTTAATAGTCATGTGTCATCAAAGGAAAAAAATTGTGTGACAAACGTGAAAAAATAGATATATTCAGTGATAAAGCGTGTACTTTACCCATTCACAGGGTACATATAGTTGGCATTCTTATGAATCTATGTCTATTTCATTCTTTTCATATCAACGTTGATGTGAATTTTTTTCTAAGTAGGTGTATGAATTGGTTTGCTTCAGTGTATTATGTATCCATCGTTAACACAAATGATAACCTGTTGGACTTTGATACCTGAATTGAGTGATGGGAAGGTCGAATAGAGAATAGAACAAAATTGGACACTTAGAAGAGAAGATCAAAGAATAGGGGGACACAATAAGAGGAAGGAAGAACCAATTGATAATGCAGAAAATAATAATGTTTTCGATATTCGATATGAACATGGTGAACTAAGAAAGTAGAATACAAAATACAAATGTAGACGACAACAACACTAAGGACTAAGAAAGTATTAATTCCACAACCATGCACCCACTCGTTGCTACTCCAACAACCCATGGATAATCATCGTTGTGGGTGCTCGGATTGAGTAAGCTTTGATAGGATGGACAAGAATTGAGTATGTAATCTTATGATTAAAAGACAAAATGATCAACCCTTTGTAGTCTATACACCCTTTGGTTATCATATAAATTATACAGCATGGTAAGAAAAGGCAAATAAACATTTTAGGCATAATTATCCTAACCTAAGAGATAATGCAATTTTGGGTATGGATTTGAAATACAATTCAAGTTACTTGTGTTCCTATCAGGAGTGTCCATCAAGTTGATTATATGCAAAGTTCCCCCCCCCCCCACCCCTTTCTGGGAATAAGTTGATTGGAAATCTGGTCAAGTTTTTATCAAACCTACATCCAACCCAACAAGTTAATTTCGAAAAGAATTTTACCCACACCATATTTAATTTTTACCAATTATGAGTTTTACCCAATTTGATAGGGTCAAACCGAATTAGACACCCATAAGTCCGTATTCAACCATCATCCCTTAACATCCCCTGTTATCGAACTTTCGAAACGAGAAGTCAGCTAAACTGAACCGAACCAAACCGATTGCCCACCCTCCTACCCTATGTCCATCCCTAATTTCCTTCGCAGGCTCAGATGGGCTTGGACGGGTTAACAGAACCAACACAGAACGGGCCAAAACTCATCCGCCTTAAAACCATTGAAATGGGCCCCTCTTTTACAGCAACGAAGCCCAATACTACCACGAACCCAAGTTCTAAGCTGCTCTACTCATAAACCCGCGCTCCGTTAATTGGTTTCATTCCCCCGCCTCTCCAAGACTCCAACCAGAGCGACGAGCTCAATCGACTGGCGGCGACGGCGATTTACCTCCGATCTCAACTCTAGTTTTCTCAGTACTCCGCCGCAAGATGAAGCTCGTTAGGTAAATTCCTCTCCTTCTCTTTTCTCATCTCTCAGTTTGGAGTACTCTTTCGAGCTGTAGCAAGCAAGCTTCTCGATTTAGGAATCTGACGAACGTTCGTTTTTGTGCTTGTTCTAGGTTTTTGATGAAGCTGAACAACGAGACGGTGTCAATCGAGCTCAAGAATGGAACTGTGGTTCATGGAACCATCATAGGTTTTCCCTCTACCATCTCTCTCGCTTCTTGTTCGCATTTCCGAACTTTTGCTAGTTCTAGGTCTTCTGAATAAACCCTATGTTTTTTTCTTCAAATTTTCAATCCGGGCTTCGTTTCAGATGGGGCTATGCGTTTTGCTTGTTTAGAATGGTCCTGGCTCTAGCTTTTGTCTCTGTTCAAATGTCAGCTGGTCAATTTGGGAGGAAAACTGTAGATGGTAGAGAACAATGGATTTTTGCTAATTCTGTTGCTGGGATGGAATGTTATGTAGGGGTTGATATTAGTATGAACACGCATTTGAAGACGGTGAAAATGACGCTCAAGGGGAAGAATCCGGTGACCCTCGACCATCTAAGCTTGAGAGGCAACAACATTCGCTACTATATCTTGCCGGACAGCTTGAACTTGGAGACTTTGCTTGTGGAGGAGGCTCCGAAGATTAAGCCCAAGAAGGCTGTTGCTGGTACCATGCTAATTTCTAAGCAGTTCATTGGTTCCCTTTTTCTTTTGATTGTTTTGCGGTTGGATGTCTTGTTTTAGTAGCTCAACTGCGTGCTTATGTTGCAGGGAGGGCTGTCGGACGTGGCCGAGGGAGGGGTCGTGGAAGAGGCCGTGGCCGTGGTCGTTAAATCGTCTTTAATATGGCTGCGCATCAAGTTTCCAGGATCAGTTAGGGACTTGAGAGAAGTGAAAACTCGTTGTAAGTTTTGATTTGCGCTTGGAGAATTTGAATTTGGAGCTAGAACTGCCTTCAACTCTGATATGAGTTTATGTCATGAGGTGTGGGTTGTTTTATATACTGGTGTGTGTAGACGTGGTAGCTAATAGTGCAAGTTTGGAGGAAGTTGTTGAGATGGTGGAAACTGCAGCTTTGTAGGGCTTCGAATGTTTGATTCCATTGATGCTGCTTTTTCTTCTGAAAGACTACTGATCATGTACTATGCTGAGAGACTTATTTCCGATGAAATTTAACAAGCATTTATGCTGCCTATGTTCTATAGATCGAGTTGACCTTAAACCGTTGTTATTCCTTGGGTCCAGGTTTAGATTATGGAATCCAAAACAGGGTTTCCTTTGAAATGTAATGCTTGACTCGAGAAAACTTGCTTTGAACCTTAATTTAAGGCTGTGTCTTGAGCAGAAGTAGCCGATCTGATCAATGGCCAGTATGGGCAGATGGCATCTGTTAAACCTAATCGTTTGCAATCGCTCTCTGAAGAAGATAGTTTCTAATTCACAATGGTTTCATTTATTCATCTATTTGACTTGTATAAGGCTTTGAAATGCCCAATTCTAAGCTTACAGCAAGATCCATGTGGAATAACAAAACAACATTACTAGAGAGCCTACAAAGAGCGAAAAGGATCCAGAGATGCTTTAAGCTCCTATATTTAGCCGCAACAGGGTGCTCCTTGAGTAGCTGAGCCACTTCCAGTGGATGGTCCAGACTGTCCTCCATAGCCAAGCTTGATCCCATAGGACTGCCAAACATACACCAGAATAACAAGGTTATAACGAGGCCTTGCGAAAATGGCAAGCGAATCTAGTGTCAGAGGAGCAAGGTAGATAGAGCTTGTACCTCATTTGATATGTCAAGAACACCATCCTCAATCTTCTTGTAGATCTTACCGGCGGTGTTTATGAATGCCTGCAAGATAGAGATGAGATGATCAAGAACTGTGGGGGAGCTCAATATGCAAAGAGATGATGAGTAACAAAGCAAACATTACCTCCTCAACGTTCTGGGCGGTTTTGGCAGAAGCCTCCATGAACACCAGACCGTTCTCTCTGGCGAATTGTTCCCCTTCTTCAGCACTCACAGCTCTTCTATGCGCGAGGTCACACTTGTTGCCAATGAGCATGATTGTCATGTTAGAGTTTGCATGCTGTCGCGCGTCCTCCAACCAGCTGGCCAAGTGATTGAATGTTTCCCTCCTGCAAAAGCAACAAATAATGTCGAATGCGTAACTCTGGGATAAATGAATCCAAACGGAAAAGATTGCATCATTGTAAAATAATCTTTTGGCTGCTGCTAATCGAGATTTGTACTGTGTGATGCCTCTGCTAAAAGAATGCACAAGATGAGAATGGATGTAGAAAGAAACTATACCTGGTAATGTCATAAACTAGAAGTGCTCCAGCAGCTCCTCTGTAGTAAGACCTTGTAATGGATCTGAATGACTCTTGACCAGCCTAGTAAAAGAAAATCCGAATTGTTTGTCCAAACTTCTCATCCATGAAAATACAAGAAATAGAGGATCTACCATATATATTATGAAAAGCTAGACCACACATGTAAAGGAGCATTTCTGAATCCCACTAACTGCAGCCAAGTCATAACATCAAAGTCATAGTCACTTGGTTCTACATAACAAAGGACTTTGGATGATCCTTTGAATACAAAATTGCACGAAAATGGTTAAGATTGGCTTACTCAAGAGCTAACACCGTAATACGCAGAGCAATCCTTACTCCATCAGGATTCCAGTAAGATGAATAATGACGCAATCAGAAGCATGAAATAACATCAAATCCATTTTCAAAGGGTAAAAATGAGAAGAGGCCAGAAAGCAAACCGTGTCCCATATTTGCAGCTTGATCTGTTTGTTATCGATATTGATCATTCTAGCTCCGAATTCGACACCAATCGTCAAGTCGTGAACTGGCTGAAACCTCTTATCAGTGAATTGCAGTAGGAGACATGATTTCCCAACTCCTGCAGATATCAACAAAGAGCCGCACATCCAATCCTCAATACAACACAATCAAACAATCCAGTACTTCTAGTAGTACTATCTGCCAATAGCGAAAATGTCCCATCAAAACTGAATTCAACAAGCAAAACACCGCGATGCTCTTTAATCAAGAAAACAAGAACAACCCATTCCACGAAATCGAAGAAAACCCCGACCCATCAAAGCCAATTCGTAAAGAAAAACCGACACTCGAGCATTCAGTCTCTCGTCCATCTACTCTGTAACATCAGCGCACAAAGAAAGAAAGAAAGAAGAAAGAAAGAAGGGAAGGAAGAAAGCACGATTGGGCGCCATTCGTTTACCTGTGTCCCCAATGATAATGTACTTGAAGAGATAAGCGTACGACATCAGGTATCTCTTCCCGTTTCAGAGTTTCCGGCTGATAAATTTGACGCGGGGGTTACTGTCGGATCTTGCTCGGAATTTGAGATTCCGATTTGGTGAACTCCAAATAGTACGATTCCCGATTAGGGAACCAATGGAATGAAGAGAGACAGTGAATTTGTCCTCTTCTTCTTGGGTTCCTTAGGAGCGGGTTCGTGTAAATCGTTGGACGAAGAAGACGCTTCGACGATGATGCGGTTCCTTCCTTTTCCCCGAGTGATGATGATTCGCATAACATTCACGAGCCTCTCTGCTGTTTGCCTTCTCTTCTCGTCCGTTTCTTTTAATTTTTCTTCATCATTTTGTATTGGGCCTTTTCCCCAAAAAATAAAAGAGAGGACCATATCGGCCCAATATAAATAGTTGCTCTTTGGTCCCCGGTTTGGTTATACTTATATACACTATTGGATTGGGTCTTCAGCGAACCGAAAAAGTCAGCGTTAGGGTATTATATAGTAAAAAATTTGGTTTGTAACCCGTAGTTCAACTGTTAATATCGTTAAATACCATCTACCAGTTTAGTCTCTGATACTGGTATTTACTATGTTGTGACTGAACCGCCGGTGCGGTACAATTTCATGGACCATGATTGAAACTTGAGCACAAAGTTTTTTTTTTTATAATGGCGATTGAATTAATAATGAAAATAAAAAGAGTACGGATTCAGGGGAGCTGAACCACGAAAACAACAAACAACACGAGAACACAAAGAAGAAAAAAGAAGGAACATACTAAAAGGAAAATTAAGATAGAAAGAATAGGAGGAAGAAGAGAAGTACAAGAAACCGCCAAGCGGACGAGACCACTCCCGCAGCAAAAACTAGATTACATACGAGAAAGACCGTCAATCATCCAATCAACAGCAGTGTTCTTGTCAATTTTGCCGTGGGCAGAGACTCAAGAAATGACAATTTTGACGGCTTGCCGAGCGATGATGAAGGCTTCAGCCTTAGAGTCCCTGAAGATGTGCTGGTTTCGTTGAGCACAAAGTTGTAGAATGTTCGTGCTAAATTTTCTAAAGGAGCATGCATTAAATTTCAAATCTTAATCCCTAACTTATGATTATTTCAGTAATTCATGCATTTCTAGTTGGAAATTATCTTACTATAGTGGTCAACAAATAAATGCATGGAGGAAATATGGCATAAAATTTTTTAAAATGATTAAGATACAAGTAAATCATAATTTCTTATTGTTCGGATTAGTGTATTTTCTTATTTATTATAATATAATTGGAAACTATAATCATTTTGAGATGAATTAAATAATGCGAAAAGTGTACAACATGTAGGGAATGGATCAGGTCAGTAACCTTATGGTGAGTAACCATGAGTAACCCGTCCACATCAGCATGACATCAGCATCCTCTCTCTCATGGAAAGCCTTTGATTTTTCCCTTTTTAATCTTTGACGGACGATTTCTCGCTCATTTTAAGTCGAAATTTAATTTTTTTTGCACAGTTAGATCAGATTAATTGTGCTCTTCAAAATGATATCCACTTTAATATATTTTCGAACAAAAAAATTGAGCCATTTTTTACCAGCCTATACCATATGGTATTGACTGGTATTGAAATAAAAGCATACCTATGTTTTGAAAAACGTACCATGGTGGTATGAACAAACCAATACTGTAGGATGGTTGAATACATGATAGTAGAAGTATATTAATTGTAATTTACGACTTTTAACACTGTATACCACACAATACCACCTCATACCAGGGTGGTATTGTATGGTATTGTGTGGTATTTTTGGTCCTGTAATTTGTTCACCCAGAAATTTGTAGATCCAATAGATCATGATGAACTCGTCCCTTCTGTGCAAACGTTTTCAAAAACGAATTAAAAACGAAGAAGATACCATACAATACCTATGGTATTGTGTGGTATTTTTTGGTCCTGTAAATTGTCCACCCAGAAATTTGTAGATCCAGTAGATCATGATGAACTCAACCCTGCTGTGCAAACGTTTTCAAAAACGAATTAAAAACGAAGAAGATACCATATGGTATGCAGTTGGTACCGAGAGGCCAGAATTTTTTTTCCTAAAAAAATATTGAAAATTGATCTCATTTTGTAGAGCACGGTGAACTCGTTCCATCTGTGCAAAAAAAATTAAAATCTGAGTTAAAACGAAAAAGATATGAGTCAATTAAGAAAGCTAGTGAAAATAAAAATAGTCTTTAATTCTCCATCCTTAGATCTGGATTTTCTAAATGAAGGGTCCAGATTTGGTTATTGATGGGTGCATAACCCATGGTTATGCACCCTATCTTGAGCCTATAAAATAAGTGGCCGAAAACAAAACTTGTACTTTGATTGTGAAATAATAGGATTATTACAAAGACCGTGGGAAGGTTGTCATTACTCATTATTATGCATATATATATGAAGGATTAATGATTACCACTAGAGTGGCTATACGGTCCGGTTCGGTTAAATTGGACCAAATTGATCCGGTACCAGTCCGGTCTTTTCGGAAATATAAGGACAAAAATTTGGATTGAATACAGTCGAGTCTTGACCTGGTCCGATCCCAATTTTATCTTGATTTTAGGTGTTGGGGGTCTCTTATCCGGTTTTTTACCTCAAATCTAAGCCCGAATATGAAATTGCATTGTTTGCTATCCGGTCCTGGTCCGGGTTATACAGTCCGGTTTCCGATAAAATCAAACAGTCCGAGACCAATAGCCAGCCCTAATTACCACGAAATAATTGACGAAGCCGCATAATATTTTGGTTTTAAATTGCAGGAGAAAAAAAAGGCGATCAATAGAAAGAAAAGAAGTGGCTTCCAATGATTCACATTTGCACGTTGTGGCTCTCATCTAAATGATTGCGAACTATATATTTGGCCACCATAATTTTTTTTTTTTTACAAATGATCTTTTTGAGTATCAATATTTGGCCACCATAATTAACATCAAATATACGAACAAATGACGAGGATCGATTTATGATCTATGTATTTAGCCGTCTGTCACCTTTATCACAATTCATAGAGAATCATGCACACTTCCTAGTCTTTTTTTTTTTAATTGGCTACAAGTACATCACAATGATACTATGTCAAAGGGGGTTTTATTTTTATATTATTGTCTTACTTGTGCTCATCATTAGAATACAATAATACATTGATATACTAGCTATAACATACTAAAAATCATAGTGAAGAATAAGTTCTATATATCTTAGGGACCTCCTACAGTAACTTGGGTATAATTTCAAGTTAGGTAACTTGTATAGATCTAAACCGTTAAAATCGATCAAACTTAATGTAAACCATTGATTAAAGAAATAAAAAAATAAAAAAATAAGTAAATAAGCAACGGCAACAAGGGTTGCCGGTCACCACATCCTCAATTTACCTATTTTATTTTTTTCTTTCCTTTTTCACATTTGGTTGGTTTCCTTATTTTATCCTTTCCTTTTTTTAATTCTTATGGAATTAGAAGCGTTACGTAAGACTTCCGTAATAACTTAGCTCTTTACGTAACAGGACGTTAATACTCATTACGTAAAGGGAAAAAATCCCAAAGTACACTAGTTTTTAAAAAAAATTCCCAAAATACATAAGTTATAAAAAAATTTCCAAAAGTACACATGTTTGGGCATCACCGTGTTTGACAAAAGCGGTGAAGTTTATCACCGCGTTTGTCAAAGACGGTGAATACTTCACCGTTTAAGACCAAAACGGTGACGTATTCACCGCATTTATCTAAAACGGTGATGTATTCACCGCGTTTGTTGAGGACGGTGAATACATCACCGTTTATGTTGACAACGGTGATTACCTTCACCGTTTAGGTTAAAGCGGTGATATATTCCCACGTTTCCCACCCCTGGTAGGTCAAAATTAGGTCACACCTACCTATTATTCACCGTTTGAGACAAACGCGGTGATGTTGTTCACCGTTTTTGACAAACACGGTGAATAATAGGCAGATTTTCCTATAAATACCAACCCACCAGCAGAAGCAAAAACATAACCACTCCCCCATTCTTCAAATTTCAGCAACAAAAATCGAGCATAATACACAGAACAGACATTTTTCGGTATGTTGAGACTTTTCGTATTATTGTCTAATTATGTTTTTAGTAGTTATAGTATGATTTAATTTTCGTATTATGTTGTTGTTAGTTAGTTGAATTTATTTTCGTTAGTTATGAGATGGACAATATTAGTTGTACAATATGATTTTGGTTAATTTTACTGTCTTTAAGCTAATATATACTTATCCTCGATTTGTAGATATGGGTAAATTCAAGAAGTTTCATCTTACTATTCGGTGGAATGGAAGGGTGACAAACTCTAACATAGGCATTGATTATGAGGACGGCGAATCCATTATGCTGAACATTGGTTCCCGATTCAATTTTCAAGAACTCTGTGATCTTTGTGCAGAAAGGGTTTGTACGAGCAGACAGACGAGACTTGGCAGAATTACTTACCGGTATCCAGACATGAGTGCTGGCGGGGTCGTGTACCAAGAAGTTGTCATAAACGATGATGACGCGGTTACGATGATGTTACAGTTCCTAAGCGATAACCAAGTCCGGCTTGCAGAGGTGTATGTTGAGACCGAGGCGGTCGGTGAATCTCATTCTCACCAGTATTCTTATGATGATGGTTTTGCAGGAGGGTACGAATGGGGTGGTAGTTCGAGCAACTACCAAGGCGGTGGTTATACAGGAGGTTACGGGGAGGGTGGTGGTTCAATCAACTACGGTGGATCGAGTAGTGCAGGATGGGACAAATACTCGCAACCTCCTAAACCAGCCCCATTTGTTGAGGCCGATGGTGTTCAATGGCCTGCTTGGGGGCCAGAGTGGTATGGAATCGAGTGGAAGGTAAATTTCGAGTGGAAGGTAAACCAGCCCCATACTGTGCAGGATGCGTTTACAGAAGAGGCGTTGAGGCGCAATTTCGAGTGGAAGGTAAAATATTCTGACAGTAAACAACTACATGTCATATGCAAGCATGATGCAGAGGGTTGTACGTGGCAACTGCGGGCTGCAAATATGAAGAGAAAGGGTGCTTGGGTGATTCGCAAAGCTGAGACGATCCACACATGCTCCTCTTCTATACTTTCCCAAGATCACAGGCAACTAAAAGCAAAAAAGGTTGGGAGAACTATTAAGCACCTTATAGAAGCACAACCAGATATCAAGGTGAAAGCTATCATGGCAGAGGTGAAGGATCGACATTCTTACACGATAAGGTATAAAAAAGCATGGCATGGTAAGCAGAAAGCCATGGC